TGTGATTTGCCAATCTGTTTGTTGATGTGATACAAAGAAATATCCCCAAGGCGTACGCTCATCACTGCTTTGTGTACATGCAGGTGCCTCCAGGATCCGTTTTTACGACTCCTGTGCTAGATAAGGAATCATTTGCAAAAAGGGAAATGACGGCGCCTACTGGGGCGTTTTTCTCTTCTTTGACTTTCTGCCTTCCACGTCATGTCAAGGTTGTGGGCGAGCTTTATTTGGTTGAAAGTTTCTAAATTGCCGCCATCGCAGCAAGTTCAACCCGGGAAGTATAACAATCTTCAGCCCTCCATATTTGGTTCGCTGAGGCGAGCCGCTAAGCTTGGACAGTCCCCCGTGACCACATTTTATACCACATATACTCCAACTAATGTTGTGGCTATTTGTTCCGTCAGCCAGTCCCGGGCTAGACTGAACTTTGGGGCATCCAAATAGTGCCAGCCACATATTTGATCATATGTAGTATGATGACTTGATTATTTTGTTCAGGAACTTAACGACGCGAGGCATTGTCTACTTCACAGCCTGCACGCACGTAATCAGAAATGGCACCCTGGACAAGCATAGATATAGTTGCGTCCGATTGATTTGCTGCAGGCGGTCCGATCGGGGGGTATCCCAATCAGCCAATACCAATAATATGAATCAAGCGCTGGGCACTCCCCTGGAATCTGAAATCTAGGGCATACAAAACTAGCCCACCTGACCGGGTACCCCCCTTGGTGCGCATCATTGGATCCGACCGGTATCTGTCATCACAGCCCCAAGCAACGGATAATCCTAGGGCGAAGCCGCATCCCGCATCGCATCCCGTCAGGGGCGATGCGGGCTTGACCAGCTCAAGCCATGAGAATCCAATGAAAGCCAATTTCACCAAAGAAAAGGCAAAAGTACGTCAGCGTCATAGGCCCCTGCCGAGGGCGTTCCTGGCGTCATGTGACTGCAATTGAGCTCGTGACCGTCCACTCGATTTGCCACTCACGGCGACATCCGTGTTGTTCGTGTCATCTCTTACTAAGGAGTATTGCGGGCGCGGGTTACGGTCAGGGGTACTCAGTATTGGATATACCTCCATGGCGTGATGGGATCGACAAGCGTACGATCTGAAGCGCGCTGCTCGGCCACCTGTCAGTCAATCAATACCACCCGTACGCCCCGTACAGTAACCAGGGCGTAGCCATTCGTTTCCTAGTCCACCCGCCTTGGACAACGCATTATTTATCGTCGGCACGTGTGACAGCTCCCTACAGAGTATGCAATTAAATTTCAGATATTAGCCTCGACAAATGACTCCATAGATTCTTCAACCTCGCCTCGGCATTATTTTCCCCAGCCCAGTAGAGCCTCGGCCTGGATTTTTCCGTGACAATATCCCTTGTGGATGGGTGTGTGACTTATCCAGATAGACCGTATCATCAATACTGAACACAAGGTCAGGAACCTAGGCAAATCCTTGTCAAAATGATTCAAGGAAAGGCCTGGCAGAATTTTGGGGGTCCTCTGCACTACGGAGGTCCATACCGCGTCTTCTCTTGAGATCCACCTGTTGGGTCCACGTCGATCGAGCCTGATGCAGGATCGACAATGTCACCCTGGTACCCCCCAACCACAGAGGCCGTAAGACTAGAGTTGATTGACTTCACTGCTGAGTCGAAAATTGGAAAGAAGCTATTCTGAACTCATTCTGAGGTCATCAAAGCATTGAGGATGAAGGTGACCTCGAAAGATGATGACAGACCGCTGTGCAATCAACGGCAAGTCAGCGGTTTTCCAACTGGATCCTGCACGAGTTTTTGAGTGCGTTGCATCCTGTAGGTAATCGATCGGCTTGTGTTCCACACCCGCAGGGAATAATCTGCTAGGTACCAGGGAACTGTTTTCGGCAAATCGGGTCAGACCGAGTCAGATTGTTGCACCTATTTAGTTAGTAGTTAGTAAGTAGCAGCTCCGTAGTTGTAGCGATATATACAACGACCTGAGTCAAAGTTCAAGATTCATCGCTCTCCCCAAGCATACCTAATCACCCCACCGGAGGACTCCTATTTTGCTGCAGACTAGGCAACCTTGGAAACCGATATCAAACGACCAGGGAGAAAAAAAGCCAGCATTTCGGGACCACTAAGTGGAGCCAGTCCGAGTTCCCTTTGGCCTTGCAGACCGACTGTTCGCGGCCGGTCCCCGCAATTTGCCTCCCCCCACCCCGGAGAACCCCAGATGATCAAGGACAGGGAGGCAGGGAAGAAAGAACAAGCAGATGATGGTCCACATTTTCGCCTGTCTCTTTTGTTCATTGATTATTTCCTCCTCACATGATGGATGAAACGTGCTAGGCGCTATGTGTACCCTGAGCGAGCCAACGGGTAAAAGTTGGGCGTTCGCGTTCCCTCCCAACGCCCCGGGAAGCGAGAGCCCACCCCCGGGTATAGATTTGTTCGACTAGGCCATTCCGCCAGTCCGGGCCACTCGCAAGGGCTTCACTGTGAGTCTAAAAAACAAATCAAAACAAAGCAAAAAAAAAATAAAAAATAAAAAAAAGAGTCTTGCTCTCCAGGTTTGCCGTTCCTTCTGTATGAGGGCTTTTTTACTCTGTGCTATTGCTCTCAGCAACTGTAGAACCGTTGAACCGTCACCAAATTATCCGGTCTAGTGGAAAGCATCATCTCCATCAAAATGAAATAAGATAAAATTAATCATTCCAGAATTCCAAAAATCCAAAAATCCCAAAGCAAAAAGTAAAACCAAAACCAAAAAACAGACTACATATCACAAAGGCCCCTTTGCCAGCTGGCAAGCTCGTGACTACGGGCTATGACACTCTGCCGTGTCCTGTTGGATAAAGACAAGACTGGGATGTGGCATCTCGAAAGATATGGGCAAAGAGGCGGTAAAGGCCTAGGGTGGCCACTGCACCTGATGAGCCTTCCAAAACAATAGAAGCACATAGCTCAAAATCCACTCGATTTGGTCGTTTTCAAACCGAAGCGCGCAGGGCGATCGGAAGTATAGTGCTGGTTCCCCGGTATGCGGGCTGGGATACAATCATCCCTTCCAAGGTTCCCTGTTGCGCGCGGGTCATTTTGCAGTTTGGTTAGTTTAATGCAGTTCAGCTACTTCAGCTACTTCAGCTACTTCAGCCAGAAATATCTTCTAGTGTAGAGTAGCTATGCATGTGTACATACATACAGCTGTACATACCCCGAAGTACTCCTGAGATCGCCAAGCCAAGTTTGCACCAAAATCAGCCCCCACCCCCTTCACCCATCAGCTTAAGCCTTCCCCATACCCACGTAAGGCTTCCTCCCCGTGTCCGTCCCCTACAGTACGAGTAGGAGGAAAGTCTACGCCGAAGGGAGCATCCGTGACGAAAATAGTTTAACCGGTCCTATCAGTAGACGAGTCAGCCGGACCTGAGGTTATTAGGCGACCAATAGTCTATTGTGCGACAGTTCATCGGTCAGTCGATACAGGTCTGTTGAGGCGCAGATATCCCCAAAGTACAAATCAGCAGTGGCAAGGGCAAGTGTTCAAACGACCAGTGTGGGTGGCGTTGAAAGGAGGGCCTAGGAGAGGGAGGGGGGGGGGGAAGATGATTTACACCGATTAACCGTCGACCTACTCTTAGGGTACACACCTGCATCCGAAGCAGTACGAAAATACATTGTACCTTTTTTCGCCCCGACAGGTCACAGGTCACAGGTCCTGAAAGACTTTTCGGCCTGTCCATGATCCTCTTCTGACCTAGATGGTCTTGATACTTTAATTAGTATAGGCTGTACATAGTATTTACTAGTAGCCTCTTTGCCTCTTACCTCTTGCCCCCGGGAGATCTCTTTAGTTGCATTTGCCTTGGATCTGAGTAGATCCAATCCGATACCATGGTATACACTCCCACCACCACCACCACCACCACCACCGGAAACAGACCGGTACTGTGATGGCCGTCACGGGATCGATACCCGCTGGATACGATTCGATACCAAATTCAACCAATTCGGGGCGACCTCGGAAGAGGCATCTGGGTGGAGACGAGAGAATACCGGGGTACGACCGATTACCAGAGTATACACCATGGACCGAGAGTGTATGGGATACGGAGTACATACTGTAGACATACACTAGCTGTAAGCAGAGTGGCCCCGTGATGGACTGAGTTTTCCCGGCCTTACTTAGGAGCAGTGCTTAGTCATTTGCTACTAAGTGTCCCAGTATCCCCCGTCTCCCCTTGTATCGTCTGTGAAAAATACCGATTATTCCCATTTATTCGATTTTTAATTATTCCCAAAGTGAAATTCCGATTAATTTTCATTTTTCATTTTCGCATTAAATCATTTTTTTAATTCCCAATTTGAATTTTCCATTTCCCCTCTCCTACACATACTCGTACTAGTAGGACACACACTTTACGCTCTGCTCTCCACTGCCGCCCCCGTCATTCTTATTATCGTTCCGCTCCTCCTCTTTCCTCTCCTTCTCTCTCCCTTCTCCATTCACTATTCACTACTCACCTTGTCACCTTCTCCCCCCCCTTCACCCCATCTCGAAACGCGCCAATCCCTCTTTCGAACGCGTTCCGTGCTCACTCCGGATCTATCAATCCTTCCGGCTTTTCATACTTCCGACTTCGGTGGCGCCAGTGAATAATCGAACACAACCTCGAATTCCCACTCTCCAAATTCCCCTTTGCCCGCCGATCACTCTTTCTGCGACTGCGAAGATCTATCTGTCTCAGCCTCTTCGCCCCCCCAAAGATATATTCGAATTGTAGCCCAAGAGCTTGGAATTCCTACCTTTCTTGACCCTTGTGCACCACACTGCACGACTCCAACTCGAATTTTCAGACCCTTCCACTCAACCGCAGAATCCTTACGAACTTTCTACCACGGTTTCCAACCGCCGTACGATCACTCTCGGGGAATACGGCGACCCCGGAACACCAATTTCCCTCCTCTCAACCTATAGTCCCGACAATCGGTAGCTGTGGCGACGCTAAAATGCCTCTAACAACACCGGTTTTGACGGTGGATGCCGATAATATTCACAAGGTCGACACCGCCAATGCTCAAAGCCTTCATGGAATGTGGATGGGTAAGTGATCTACTGCGTGAATGCCCTCGGGGCTAATGATGGCTAACGTTATCTCGGCAGTATTCTCCAAATGTGCCGACTACATGGATCAGGGCCGTCGGCTTGAGAACCTCAGCTGGCGTCTATGGACCCGTGAAACCTTCTGCGTTGAGCCCGAGAAATCAAGCGAGGTCTCGGTTCTCCCGAAATTGCGCTCCGATGCTGGCGATCTCCCGGAGCTCTCCGCGAGTGTTGAGTCGGCTGCGTCCGATCAAGCCGAGCGCATCGAAGCTCATATCAAGCGCCCGCAATTCTCTGACTACAGACCCGCCGTGGTACGTGAAGACTCCCTGTCCAGCCTCGGCCGTGGCAAGGAGAAGCACATCACCTCGCTCGACCTCGAGCGTATGGTCCTCAACATCAAAGAGCGGAAATGTCTAGAACCTCTGACCCCGACGATCGAGCCTGCTGCGCCCGTCGTCGATATCACCCCGCGACCCTCGACTCCTACTCCGACTCCTCCTTCGATCTCTACCGTTCGTCAGGTTCCCTCATTCCCTCGACCTTCCCCTCGACCCTCCCCGATTCCCCGTGAATCGACCGAATCTTGCTCAACAACCGCCCCCGAAGGCAATGACAGTGATACGGCACAACTCAATGCGTCCGACACCAGTGTTTCTTCATCGGGCGTCCTTCCGACTCGACCTGAACTGATCAAGTCACCAAGCGTTGTTCGGGGATTTTCTCCGTCGCATATCTCATCTTCCTATCGGTCGCAACCTAAGCTGTCTGTCGACCCGAGCCCCGCCCGCAGTGCTACTCAACTCAAGCCGTCCCCTCTTAAGAAGAAGGGAGGTATGTTTATGCTCGGTGGTTCCTCCGGAGATGATGATGAGAGTTCCTTTGAAGACCGCATGGTCCGCCCGCAGGCACTACAGCAGAAGATGCCCAATGGATCATCATTGAAGCCTACCACTAGCAACCCGAGTCCCTCCAAGAAGGTTGCCTCTTTTAGTGATGAAGTTGCCACCCGGACTATTCGACCTTCCAAGAGTCCCCTCAGCGCCGACGAGGATGCCATCGAAACCGACGACGAGGTCTCCGAGAGCGCCATTGAGGACGACGAGGACTCTGATTGGGAAGACTCCATTACCGAAAGTGGTACTGCGAGCATTGACGAACGACCTGAGATGTTCCAACGGGTGGATTCTCGCCCGAATTTGGTATCCCGCCGGTCGCTCCTCACCATGATGATGCACCAGCCGACCAAGATGAACATGAATGGAAACGCATTCCGGTCCAGTCCCGCCCTACAGCGATCCCGCCTGACATCACCAAATGGCCCATCTATCCCCACATCGCCTCCCGAAAACGACGAGGAGAGTCTCACTATGCGTGGTCCTGACGTACCTCGATCCAAACCCATCGGTATGAAGACGCCTGGACCTCAGTCAGTCGCTCACTCGCCACGTACCACCCGCCGCAACATGCTTGCGACCGAATTGACCGAGTCCCTTCGCCGACACCTTCTCTGGGAGCGCCAGCAAAAGAGCGCGACCGCCAATGCGTTCAAGCGACGCCACACCACCCATGACATGAAGAATCTCCAGGAGTACCCCGGCCCGAAAGGACCTCACCAGGCTCCTGGTGGAGGCCCATCTGGGACTGCGGACGCGAACGCGGCCAACCAAGCATCCAAGGATCTCGCTAAGAACGGCTCTTGGACCAATTACGCGACAGACTTCGGCCCCTGGGAATACCACGTCAAGGGGTGGTAAACAAACCCATCGTCATATCCTTTTTTTCACTACTTCGCAACTCTTCTCATGATTTTTTTCTCGCGGCAGCGAGTAATTTTCACCGACACGATTATGAACATGCATTGCATCTAGGCGCACTTTTACGGCTTATCGTTTCTGGAACTGGGGTCTTCTCATCGGCTTTCGGGGTTAGGGAGGTGTTTATCCTGATACAGCATTCGCTGGGCGTTGTCCCTGGGATTCTTTCTGTCTGGACTACACCTACGACCGAAGAATGGGGGTTTCTCTGTCCCTTACGAATTTAATATTTCATGTACAGCTCATATGCCACGTCCCTCTTATTCTTTTTTTACTTTCGGGCAACAAACCCCCCTCGAATGGATGATGAACCACGGACTTTAATTCCTTCTCGCTCTCTCTCTATCTTCCCAAGAGATATCCTCCAAATCGTTTTCTACTGGCTTTGTCTTCTTTGCCTCGGAAAGTTTCACCCAAAAAAATCGTCTTCCATCAGCGACTTCATCTTGCACCGCGCATGCCGTAAAATATCTTTCCCCGATAATTTCTCTTTTCGGGAGGCGGCGGAAAACATGCGAGCATCTTTTATTACCCTGTGAATCTCTTTTTTTCATTGCTGGGATGGGTCTTTTCTTTTTTTTTTTCAGATTCCATTTTTCCCAATTACTCCTCCATTTTCGATACCAGATACCATGCGCTTCCTTCCCTGCTTCTTTTTTCTTGTTCGAAGTCTCTCGGGCCCTTCATGCAAATGCAAGCCCCGAGTTACTTGTCCCATGTACGCTACGCAACCTCATGTCTCTTCCCCCAAGCGCATTTCAAAAACCCAAAACTCTGGAAATCAATAAAACCAGTTATCGAATTCATAAAATTCTCCCTCTAAAAAAAGCTACACCTCCTTGTGCATTCTCTCGTATATTTTGGCCCTGAGCGTAATCAAATAGATTGTTTTGAAGGTATAATCAACGCCAGAGGCTGGCGCCATGCATTGGGTAATTAGCGGTCTGGATGGTTCTGAAGATGAGATCCCTGTAGCAGAGCTCTGTGCAGAGGAACTAGTGATATACATAGTAGATACTTTTAATTATATTTCAGTTTTCATTCACTATTAAGTTACTTTTAAAATGTTATTCAACTTTATTTGGTAATTGGGTAGGCATAACTTGTGGATGAACTATCACCCAACGTACATGCATACATCTATGGAGGGACAGCTAGCAAGCTAGCTAGCAAGAAACTACGTACACTACACTCAGCCAATTCAATTGGCGGTGGACTCGCATACATACTACCTCTGGCATGACGGAGATGCTCCGCATGGCAATCCCGAATCCGAATGCACAAGAGGTCCGCAAAAGGTTTCCCGGAGCGCGCGATCCTTGCTCATACCGACGCCAGATAAGTATCATGTGGGAAAGCCGGCGGTTCTGCAGGAGGGCTTGGTGGCGCTGACACGTAAGAGGGGAGATGACAAGGACAAGGCTAGAGCCCTTGTCATGATTAAATTATGGTTACAGGTTACAGATTACATGGGTGGTTTGGGTAAGGATAGGGCAGGACAGGAGGATGGGAAAGATGGGAAAGATGGCGTGTAACCTGATAGTATGGGTCTTTGGATGTTGTGGCGAGATAGTCTATCGCTTCGACCAACCGCCCGGAATCCTGGTGATCCAAGTTTCTGTTCTCCTTGAGAGAGAGGCAGTACTACCTGCCTAGGAGGGTATCGAGCAGCGGGATCCCGGTCCCGACACCAGGGAGAAGGGAAGATCGTAAGGCGCCGAGGGGTTGTCAGGTGGTCGTTTGTGTTTTTTGTAATTATTTATTTCCTTTTTTTGGAGGGTCCTCGCATTTGTATCTCTTCACTTTAATGTAGATTGGTGTAGTACACACACTACTTATTTGAAGGGAGTAGAGTAGTAAACAGCCTAAGGGTCAGTGTACACACAGAGCTAATTGCATACATGTACTTAACTCTCAGGTCAAGATTATCTAGGGTCCGAGACCTCTCGAGCTATCTATTTTTGACGAACTGGACAAAAGTACCGAGATGAGGAGTCGATGAGATCCAGATCTTTCCCACCCCTTCTTCTCCCCCTCCTCTCCACCCTCAGGTACGTACTCTGGCGTGGATGGTCGCACAGTTCGCTTCACATGCGGACATCATGACATCTGCACACATTAGTCCCGCGCCAGACCTGCCCCAGTGTGGGTGAGATGGTGGTGGTGGCTTCGCCGCGACTCGACCAGATAAGCGCTCAGTCCTATCGAGCTAACCCGATATCCTAATATTCCAAGGAAGAGGAGGGGGGGAGGGGAGTAATTCAAAGTTGTTGGCTATGGGCCATGGGCGTTTATCCCTGGCGGCGAAGTACGATCTACACAAGCTGGGAGCTGAGCAGGGCTGCTGATGTGTCTGTGCTAGCAATTTTTGGATCGAGGTTCTAGACTTTGCCGGATGTGTTAGGGCAGGTTCCCCGGGGGGATTGAGAGTAAAGACGAAAGCTAGCCTCACCATGACACTTATGATGCATGATTTCCATCAGAAAGGTGTCACCTGAGAAGAGAGAGCCGTCAACCCGGATCCGATCCAGGCACGGCATCTGTCCTTTGCTTTTGCAGGCGCCATATCCACATTGCCTTACTTCGTGCACAGAGATAAATGTAAGCGACCCGGTCTGATTTCATGGTCCTGCCATCTTTTGATGTCATCCCGTGATAGTCATGTGGCTCGAAAAAAGTGGATCAGAAGGGGAACACATGACTCTGGGGGGAAAGGCGAGAGAGACAGAGAGAAAGGAGGGGATGGATCCTCTTTGCTGCATTTCGCCACTGGCTCCTCCATCTCTGCGGAGTATTACTGTATGTTGTACTTGAGATCCATCTGTATTTGAACCATCCTTGAGATTTGGTTCAACCCTATAATCTCCCAAATCGAGAAACTCAACGTATCCTAAAAAAGGGACCGAATACATGCATCCGTATATACTATACTCTTCATAACCGCGGCAGATCTCCCAATGACGTATCAGTAGGCTATGGACGCTTCCCCTTTGGGCGACAACCCAGAGATGTTGCATCCAGCCCAAAGTGGACCCCATCAAAACAAAATTGCTCCAAAAACCCCACACTCACGCTCCTAAAACGCCCGACGGCTGCCTTCCCCAACTCGCGTCCGCCATGCTGGTTGGCCGTTGGTCCGGCGAGGCCCGATTCCTCGTGGGGCGGACGAAAATTTTCCTTCATACATTATGGTAGTCCAGAGAATTGCATCCAGGGCTCAACCAGTGAGAAGGTGTGCCTTTGTCTATGGATGTATTATTCCCTTCACCGAAGAGCCGCAATTATATGTACCGCGTACAAAGTGGCCTGGCCGCTTTGACAGGATTACATGGAGTCAGGGAAGGGTTGAGTTTGATACGAACCAAACTTGAAAGATCCCAATTTGATGTTTTTAAGATGAACTTCGCGGTTGCGGCAATTAGTTCTGCTAGTACATAGATAAGTACAAGGTACTCCGTAAGTGCTGGTTAGTCTTTTGGTTGCTACGCTACTCATTTTAGGCCTCCTTTAATCTATATCTTTCCGCCAAAACCAGCCACCTCCAGAAGCGTGGCATACACCTATCCCTCATCCAGCAAGGTCCCGGCTCCTTCATATCCATTACAACGCTCTCCTGAGTCTAGTCGCTAGTGCGGGAAGCTCGATCTCAGCTCTCTTGTACTCCGTAGTCGCCGAGTGGGAATTGTGGAGATCAGTGGATCAGCCCGATATTTTGGAGAGCGCCGTGATTCGTAGAATTCCGCCGTACTGAAGAGGGGCTCGTTCACCGGTACTGATATTGTTTTACACTGGTTGTTTTCGGAACCGCCATTGCCATTTGGGGAATCTAGGGCGTTACTCAGATACAATCGGTGATATCTAGGTGGGGTTTCGAGGCCATCACGGTCGAAATTCTTGACCCCCACGAAATGAAAAGGAAACTAAGGGTGAAAATTCGAGGCAGGCAAGGGCCGTGAGAGGTGAATCTTGTTTGCTGTGGGCTTGAACAAAGTTCGGGTGGATTGGGCTGCGAATTGGTTGGGTTGACATCTGCAACTCGGGATGCCGATGCTGCGGGATGAGCTTGATTTAGATGTAGTACTACTTATAGAACTACGAGGATAACTTTTATCAGTCTAGACCTGTCGTAGATTGTAGCCTCTAATCATTTCTTTGTCTAATATAATAGATAAATCTCTTGATTCGTAGAACGTTCCATTCTCTCACACGGAGGCAGGTCTTGTGTTCACGCGTTGCTAATCAAGCCTCGTGTTCAATGACATCCACTGCGGATCGAGGGTCAAACACCGGCGTCCTGACTGCCCTGGGCGACCGGGTTCTAGAATGGGTCTTGGTCAAGCGGGATTGCACCGAGTTACAAGCGCAGGGACCTTATTGTCTTTGTTCTCCTGGGGGGTTTCGTCATAATGTGTCGATATAAGAATATCATAGATCTTTCACCGGTGATGGTCTGGGATGTATTCCCGAATTTTTCTCCTAGCTTCCTGAGCTCGCCACTCAGCCTCCCGAGACGGTGTGTGTGTGGCAAGGATGTAGAGTAGACTTGTTGTAAAATGTACTGCATACTGTACATGATAATATTTGCAAGCATGTATACTGCCTACCGATCCCGACTATCCCGATCGCGTGGGATGCCGAGACTTGGACAGTCCTCGGCATTTCCAATTCAAGCCCTGACCCCCATGGACTTGACACGATGCCGTGGGGGTACAAAAATGCACTCTTTAAGAGCAATAACGTGTGCTCAACAACGAGAATTGCGCGACGCGTGATTGGATCCGCCCGGCCTCCACCGGCGTGGGTCGGAGCCTCACGTGAACGCACAGTCCAGGAGCTCTGTCCTCCGACGAATCACGATTTCTAGAGCTGGCTCCATTGTCAGAATTACAGTCGACATATGTAATTTGTACCAGTTAGTACAGTATAACCCTCACTAACTG